AAACAAAACACCAGAGTTACCGCAAATGCTTGAAAAGCCTAGTGAAGCTTCTTGAGCAGCCGTTTCCATGTCAACGTGCAACTTGCAACTGACATTGGAAAATGTGGTTCCAGAATTTTCTCACTGACACTATGCATACGTACCAAAAGGATTACAGACAGAAACGAAGAGGAACTATAATGCATCACGGGCGCTAGCTTGGTTAACAAGCAGGCATATGGAAATATAGACAAATGCATAAAGGAGTATCCATTTCCTTTTCGGTACTAAATGAATATCTCTACATGTAGGTGTGTCTGCAACTGTGTTTATATTTATACAAACTGCACTTAATCGCAATCACATATACAGATATATACATAACTATGAATTGCAGAAATATGTGGGTCGATATGTGGGTGAAATTGCTTCAGTTTGGTACCAATTACCATTTAAAAATATGTGTATGCAATCAAGAAAAAGTGTAATAAGCAAACAAAATAGAAGTACTGGACAAGTGGCTTCACGGAGCTCTCATCTGTCCGGCGAGCAGTGACTGCAATAAAACCAGCAGTCCAACAGACTTGGACCCTTTGCTTTACCATGATTTATGGCAAGTGAACAAGTGTAATCCTGCGATCATAAATTTGTCTGTTGAAATAATTTTGAAATGAAAATGTTCACGCCATTTTTCAAATGAATGATGCAGAAGGAAAAATGCTGTTGCAAATAAAACAATTAAAAATTAAATTAATTAGTTGTTTTCAGTTACTAATGATGGAATGATATTTTATTTTTTACGATTCCACAATTAATTGATTTCAATCAAATATTTTGACACTATTCCGGACATGCTCATTTCTCAAAGGATTTTCGTACTAACACTCTTATTCTGGATAACATTTTCCGCTAACCAATATTAAACATTGCTCAGTTTTTGAGATATCGGGAAGCTTTCAACTTTTATTTGAAAACTATCAAAAACAAGTATCCGTCGTTTAGGAAACCAATGTATAAATATTAATTTTGCCATGAAATATTAGACCTCTTCCAAACTACTATAAAGCATAGTCTTCAAGATTTTTATGTAGTAAATAGTTCAAGTTTTGAAAATAGCTAAATTGTTTATGCTTAAGTTAGGTTAAGCGAATTGGAGAAAGGGAGAACAAATCCTCTTTTATTAGCTAAATGAGCCGTTTTGATTCCAGAATTCCTCGTAATAGTGGCTAGAAGTATGATCAGCGGGAAACTTTGATAAATACGAGTGTCTGGCCAATGTGCTGGAAATATCGCCAAGTGTGTTAAGGAAGTAGGTATCCAAAACAAGCTTTTGGACTGGTTCCAAACAAGCTTGTACATACACATGACAGATGTTCTGATAACTCTTCCTTGAACGTCGGTAGACATGTACCATAAGATATGCTATATGGTGGGCCGACCACTAGCTTACTATTTGTTGCAGCAATGTCATGAGTCTGAAAGTGATATAAGTGTTAAATGGTATACATATCCACTTGTTTTACTACTCTGGCAGGGTTAAGATCACGGTGAAGTGTTTTATAAGCAACATACCACAAGGTATTTGTTATCATAGAATAAACTTTTGATTAAAAATGCTAAAGCAATAAGTCATAATTTAATACCATAAAGCGATGTGGGCTTCAGAAATGCTCTATAAATACGAAATTTTTTGTGATAAGCAATAGGCATTTAAAACCAATCCAAATTATTACTTATATATAGGATGGGAATAAAAATTCACTGAAACTTACCGATTTAGTGTCTAAAACACTATTACTCAATAGTCTCTATGACCACTTGGATGATCCACTCTAATAAGAGCCCCATTGAATCTTTGTTTTCAATAATTTTAGCATTATAAGGTTTTAGTAATTTTATAAAGTTTAATTAAATTACAACTAGTTACTAAAGTAACGAGTAGTTTAATTTTAGTAACGATAAATGAATATATGCATTAATATGATAACTGCAATTAGTCTCTAAATGATTCTAGTCAATATGTGGTCCAAAAATCTGTTGGCACCACATGTATGTCGGTCTATTTTGAGTTGGATTCGGCTTTCATCATCAAATTTTATAAAAGAAACTATATTCAAAATATAAACTATTGTTTTCAATTGACTATTGTTTTGAAAGAACAGTAGTAAAATTGCAACAACAAGTTTTTTAAATATTTTTAATAAATTAAATTTTTGACTGATCATATAACTGTTTTGAATATTGCTAAACCATGAAAAGAATTTAGGTTATGTTTACTAATGCATCTGCTTAGTTATTTTACATAATGTCAGACCTGCTTTAAGATGTGACTACATAGATGGATATTTTTATATATAGATAGATCGCCCAATGAACCAATCCATTTATTTAGTAAATTTAAGCGAATAAAAGATGTTTTTTAACAGTGAAAATGCAGTGCTTGAATTTATCAGGAATATTAAAAGTTCATTTCGTAACTTTTGCGAAGTAGAAGAAACGCCGCAATGTATCTATCGAACATATGCAATAAAGTTTTGTATTGAAAGATAAGTGCACATACAAATTTGTGCCATTTACATAGGAGCTCTTGTATTATAAATAAAAATGTTACTATTTACTTGTGTACAAATGTAATTTTCAAATACAACATTTGATGTCACGTTCCTGTTCAGCATTTTGTGACTTGTGGTTGGGCGATAAATTTTATTGCCTTCTCTTGAGTTTTATTTGCTCAAAAATAACATACTTCTACTGGCTTTCCACTTGTTTGTGTAGAAGATATATCTCGGCAGTGTGGATTTATATATGTGCATAACGAATATATGTGTCAGTATATGCTTGCATTATTCATATGTGTACTTCTACCGTACCTATGTGGCAGTGTATCTGTATGTGAGACCATGCTAACATTTTTATGCTGCAGAATTCATTTATACGTTTCACAATATATCATCGCTTGCCATAAAACTTTCATATACAGCTATCAGTTAAATCCCAGAATGACAAAACTGCTTCGAAATCAGTCCGAATTCTATTCGTTTTATCCTTCCGTTTGTCAATTTAGTCAATCCGCTCTCCATTCGTCAGTCTACACCATTGCGTAGTCAAACAAATTTTGACAGTAGCCATTATTAGTTTAGCGCAAGGATACTTCAGCATATCCTTGCTATACACTGTTTTTACTTCTCGTACGATTTCTATGCTGTTTGGTGTGCGTCATGTGCTGTGTGCTCGTTCAGATCACCCTTCCAATTGTAAGTCACTTGCCGGAATACCTTGAAACAATGGCAGAACATACCGAATTTGTTCAAATAGATACCAAAAGTAGCAATGGTTATGAAAAGTTTGCTTGCGAGGGCGGAGGATTCGTTCGTTTCGTGTATTCGCCTTAGATGAATTGTGGTAATAAACACAAACCTTGAAATTGTGTTTTATCACACGAAAAACATGCTTAATAAACCATGTCCGAGAGGATGTTTTATTTTAACGATGGTATGCGTCACTAATTAAACATACCCAGATATGGCTACATTGCATGTGCCAGGATAATATTTAAATTTATTAGATAGGTTAAATTAAACAAACAAGATACATTAGTCCACAACCTGAAATGAAGCAATTTTTGACGAAAATTAAAAAGTGTAATTAAACCAAGGAATATTTTTATGTATACTGTATCTTTTATAATACCATATTTTTGTATTTATACAAACCATATATAAAATTATTAAATAAATGCTGTTCCGTAGTGATATGCCAAAAGGTAATTATCATCTTCGTATTCAGCAGGAAGTAATTTAGTTATAATAAGGCAAATATAATGATATAAACCAATAGTTATGTACGAATGTCTATTTTAATAGTAATAACAAAAAAACACACTATCTAGTATAGGAAATCCAAATAGTTAAATATTATTTAAATATTTTAAAATTTGTAATTAACACTTATTAAAATTAGTCCATTTAAAATCATAATAAACCTGTATTTTTTAAACGCAACTGAGAGCGATTTCTTCTTTTATTGGCTCTTCATTATCTCCTTGACCAAACAATACTTTCAATGAAATTCAAATACCCAGCTACTCGCATCACTAGGCTTAAGAAAATATACCTCATCCGCTACACTTTTACTCAAGGCAACAACGTAGTTAATTCCATTAAAATTTTTACCCAGACCAACGCCTGATGCACCGAAATCCTGAAATATTGAAGAAATTCTGAACACCTTCGAAATTCTTAAAGCACTCATTCTCAGTCCGATATTTTGGATGTGATTTAAGTAAATCTATTTTTGTTTAAATAAAAAATATATGTTAAATGTGAAGCATACTATAAAGCAGTACAAACTAACTTCCTGCAGATTCTCGGCACCATCCACAGTAAGAGTTTCAAATATATTTTGATCTGTTCTTTAATTCTAATAGAGCAATATCATTAATTCATTAAAGTCTGTAATCTGGATGTATATGCTTTGCCTGGAAATATATATTTAAGTATGTTCTATGGTATGTACGGTTAGTTGAATTTTGATGTGTATGTTTTACCTTCACGCGTTGACGTGCCGCTTGATCAAGGTTTTGTAGATTATTCATATCAACTGTAACCAGTCAAATAGTTTACACCGGTCAAAATGCTCCTCCACACAGTGAGGAGCATTTAAAATAAAACGATTTATATTCCAACCCATCGCCTCTTTCGTCTTTAGTAACTATAGCAGGCAAATGTGGGCGATTTCCTTGAAATCCGACTAGTCTTCTCAATGGTTGATGGTAGAAAATTTTTTAAGACATCCTTTGCCATTTTAGAAGTTTCTAATTCTGCAATAATACCCTCTTTATTTTTCTTCACAAATATTAATTTCGTGTCTCGAAATTTAACATTTGTCATATCCATTTTGTATCGGAAAATTGCCTCCACGTCAGTTGTGTTTGCCTTATCTTTTAGTAGACCCTTCGACAAGTCTGCCAATTTCTCTCCTGTTCTCATCTCTATCGTTTCTTAATTGTTCGACTTCTAGATTTAACCTTTGGGTTTCAGTGATACGTTGCCTATTTGTTCCTTAAGTTCGCATATTTCTCTCTTTGATGTTAGTGTAGCTATTTGCGAATCAAAGTTACTACTCAGGTCTGCAGTATTAGATTCGAATTTTTCTGTCATTTGTTGAATAGCTTGCTTAACATCGCCGAGAGAAAAATCTGGTGAGAGTTCAGATCGTATACGCTTTTCTTGCTATGACCTTGCTTATTTGGTGTGCTTAGGTCCGATTTACTAGAGGCGATCTTTGCAACTGTTGGTAGCAATCTTTAGAATGGATTTCTTTTTTTTTTATATATTTTTTTTTGTTTATTATTATAATATATTGGAAAAGTTGTTAAGTTTCTATATTCTACTTTTAAAGCTTAGAATTCGTTAGCACACAAGCCCTACAGCACAGACACAAACCACTCTGAGCTTTATACTGAGTATATTTGCTATAAGTTTTAATCGAGCTTAACGCTGAATATGATTTTAAGATCCGCTGATCGCAAGCACTTTTATTTCTATTTGATTTTACTGTTTTTGCCACAATGGAAATGGAAACCAAATACCATGTAGTGATAAAGTCCTTTCTTTTAGAACCTTTATCAGCAATAGAAATTCATACAAAAATTGTTGATGTGTTAAAACAATCTGCTCCTTAATTTCTAAATGTGCGTCGATGTGTTTAAGAGTTCAGACGTGAGCGTGTACAAGTGTTAAAGATGAACCACATAGTGGGCATCCGAAAAGTGTAACTACATCAGAAATCATTGAGAAAGTCTATGATGTTGATCCAAAGGTGACTAAGCGCAAAATTGTTGTTCCATATGCAGTTCAGAGGAACAAGTAGTCTTTATTTTAAAAGAAGAATTACGTATAAAGAAAATTTTCGCTGCTGCATTCATTGACAATTCTACAAAAACTGAATCGTTAACAAATTTCTCAGAATAATCTGCAGCGTTTTGAGCACAATGATACAGATTTTGTTCGTCGTTTTTTAAATATGGATTAGAGTTGGACCTACCATCATGGTCCTAAATTAAAACAAGGTTGCTTACAGTGGACTAAAACTGCTTGTTCAGCCCCAAAACAGGTGAAGTTAGAAAGATCTAAAAAACAAGTTATGACAATAGTTTTCTGAAATACAAAAGGATCTTGAAAAAGGTAAAATTATTAAATCTAAATAATTTAACAAACTTTTGAAGCAGTTAGATAAAAAAATAATTGAAAAATGACCCGGCTTACGGAAGAAAAACGTCATTTTCCATGAAGACAAAGCACGGGTTCATGGAAGTGTTTTGAGGATGATGAAATGTGATGTATGAAAGTACAAATTGTTTGAACACCCATCGTATTCTCCAGTTCTCCAGTTCTCTTTAACTTTTCCTCTTCCAAAATTTGAAGCAATTTCTTTGTGGAAAGCGGTTTTCGTTGAATACAGCTTCCGGAATATAATTATACAGATGGTATAAAGTTATAAACGGATCGTTAGAATATATATATTGAAGTTGCAGGAGACTATAAATAAAAATACTGATTTAACTAAAAAAAGGAAGTTAATTTCATGTTTGCTTTCAATTCAACAAACAATTTTAATAATAATATAGTTATTAGCGAATGGCAAAATTAATTTGATGATGAGACATTATCTATACTACAGAAGAGACACTATAAGAGATTGCAAAATTTTTATTCTACCGATGTACAGATATAAAAACATTTTATGGAATATTTTATTACACCATAATAAACGGTAAGGTTTAGAAATCTCCTTTAATGTTTCTTTAATATCCAAAAAGGAACAATCATTTTTTTTACATATATTTTGAATAAAATTATTTAAAGACTTAAAGAAATTTTTCGGGACCATTTTGTTCAGCCTCCAATGAACTCGGAGTAAATATTTTATGAAATTTTGTACATCGCTATGAGTCGAGTATGTTGTGGAAAATTGTTATACTTCATAATGTGATGTGCCTCCATGTCAAAAAAATAACAAGAAATTTTATTGTTAAAAATTATGTGATCCTTCATAACTTAAACGGTTCATTATTATGTGCATTAATTTCAGCAGAAGACACTTCCCTTCTGATTCTTGAGCATAAAGTGAACCGAACTGAATACCACAAATGTCAAAACCACAGACGCAAATGGGTAAATAGGTGGGTAAATGTACGCTCCTGCTTGCCTACGAGTATGGAGCATGTTAAGAAATAAACGAGCGAAGAAAAATAAAAAAAAAAACAGAAAAAACAAGCTGAAGTCCGTGTTAAGCCTCCCAGGCAGATACGTAATTATAATATTTTTTATTAGCTTATCTGATCCTTAAACAAGGAAATAACATAAATTCTACTTTTTGCTGTACTGCTATTATTGTTGTTATTGTTCTTATTGTTGTTATTGTAGTTGTTCCTTTTTTATTTGGCTCCTTTGTCATGATTGTATGCTAAAGTGAAATACACACCTACTTTTCGTTGTAGGTTTACTTTATTTTCTTTATTTTCATTGTTTATTTTTTATTATGCGGCCACATTTTGTTATAAATTTTTATACAGATTTTCCTGGTACTGCAGGTAAGGCTCGGTGCACCAGAGTACGAGTACCACATTAACACAGAACCGCTGTAGTGGGAACATAAGGGATATGTACGGCCGCAGTCGTTTCACATCTCACCAATGGATACGTGTGATGAGCGGGAGCTACGGCGGCGGCGGCGGCTGCGAACGTTTACGATAATAGAAATGGAAAAACGAAAGGTCGACATTTATTATGAGGCTTTATCAGCAAAGGACATTTGTCCTGTGTTCTGTTCGGTAGAGGTTTCTTCCTCACTGCTTCGTTTTTTTACAATTTCATATTTTAAGCATTTTATAATACATTTGTTGTTGTTTTCGTTGTATCAGTGTTGTTTGTCCGCAAGTTGTTTTTGTTGTAGTGCTTGTTCCGCTGCGGCTGCATCTATGACGCTTCGACCATGAAACTTACCTACAATGGAACAATTTTTTGCTAGCACCGGCAGTCCAAGTGCTAGTAATAGGCCATTCTGTAATAAACCGCCGACTGCAGTCTGCACGTGTCCTATTGTCGTAGGTATCGCAGCTATTCTCGTTAAATAGTCGCAAAAAATAAGCTAAAAAATATATTAATTCAATGATGAGTATGAGATGCTTTCGGTCAAACAATGCGTTGCGATATTATCTGTGCGCCTCTTTTTTCTGTACTAGGTGTGCTCAGTTCGTTTATGAAGATTTATGCATGTTAAGATTGTTGTATTTCTCATTGTTGTTGTTATTGTTATGTTGCTGTGGTTTTTGCTGCTGTTACTGAAATAGCGAGCTGCGGTGACGGTGCCGGTCCCGGTGCCAGTGTCGTTGTCGGTGTCGGTGGTTTCAGTAATAATGTTGCTTCTGTTGTTGAATGTCGCGGCTGTTCATAAATTTATCTTCCTTAGTATATGTAAATGATACTGCATATTGAAAATTTGTTGCTGGTTTTCATAACAGAACGTTGTGCTTGGGGGTGATAAGCACATCTTGAATGTGATAAGACGTTGTTCAATCGTAATTTCACTTAATTTTGTATTATATTTGTTCTGTGCTATCGTAATTAGTTTCCATTATTTGAACAAAAAGGAGCTAATAAATTCTCTGAGTGTGCGTGGTTTATTGCGGTGCAATTAATGATATTTATTGTTGCCATAACTCTACACTCGTCTTTACCCCACGTATTTCAAGTAATATATGAATCCCAGGATACTGCGACTGCTGACTATGACTACACTTTATTTAATCGACAATCGAATTAACTATAACTTTAATAAAATAAAATCAAGTGTGTTAGTTTTTATTGCAATTATCATGAACAATTGTGGTAATTATTGTTTTAAATAATTCAAAGACATTCTTAAGAGGATCTTTGTTTTAGTTGTTTCTATCACATCATATATTTTTGGTTTTTTTTTTGTGGTGAGTAGTTGGACTGTTTTATATAACGTTAAGTCGACCGTAGTCGGAATGGTGTGCCCGATTCACTAACATATTAGTATGTAGCAAACGGATTGAACACCTCCTTTCGGATAAAATTATACCCCCCAGAACTGTCTTCTTATTACTTCAGAGTAGGTCTCTTGCATGTTGACATTTTAGGTCATGCTTATTTGATTTTTGATCTACGTAGCAATCTCTACTTTTCCAACACAGTTTTTGATGCCTATCCTATTTATTAACCTGTTTTCTGTTTCTCCGTTCTTGATCTAATTTTTTTGCTTTATATAATACATTATATAAACCTTTTAAGAGATAGTGAATCTTGATTATTATGCTTACTTAAAAGACCTATATATGAAAATTTTTTCAAACAGGATTCATGAACAATCCATTTTATCATAAAGTTCATAATAATAGGAGTAAGCAGCAATTACATTTAATTACATTACTTTTCATATAAGTTCAGAAAGTCTTGTTCAAATATCTTGTTTATTAACGAATTGAATATGTTTACATATCTTATATAAATTTTTTTAGGAACTATTCATAATATATTGTATATTGTTATAGGTAGGTCTATTGATTCTTAAAACCTTTTCAATTCCATCCATATGATATATGAATTTTAAAATTCCTAAAGCCTTAGCGTTGGTTGTTGGAATTAAAGATACAATCTCAAATGTTCAAATGTGCTATATTAATATATCTACTTTAGACACAGCATTTGTTGTTTTTATAACTGCACTTATCATTTTTTTGTTTTTGTTGCAATGGGGCGCGTCTAACCCATCATGGACCGTCAGTACCATTGTTATGATACCGGTGTACCAGAATCTTACCGACTAAAACATCATACTTCTTCATCAGGGAGACCTTTCTAGGATCACTTTCATATTACTTCAGGAAGGTTTCGGTTTTTTCTTGTCTTCCACCATCTTCTTTGTTTGCTAATAGACCCGTAACCCGCATCATCTTAGCTTTCTGTCGATACTCTGCGTCGAGATATATGTTCTTTGTTATAACTGCAGCTATGATAATCTGAATCTTAATCCTATTTTAATCCAATTATGAAAATAAAAGCAGAAACTACTGATATTGTACATAAGTTTATTTTTCAAAATATTTGAAGCAAAGACTTCATTCAAAATCGATTGCCGTTTTAATTAATTGAAGGAAGAGTATCTTAAGAT